ANNANNANNNTTATTATTATTATTATTATTATTATTATTATTATTATTATTACTTATTTTTTGTTCTTATTATTTGTTTGAATGCTATAAAATTATTAATTGTCGAATATGATTTATTTGTCAAATTTCTTAATTGTCTTAATATTAATTAATTACCTATTCGTCTAAGTGTTATTAATCAATTAAATGTGTATTTGTATTTTTACTAATATTATTATTATTCTAAAAATTAAATTGGGCACTATAAATATATATTATCCGGTTATGTATTTATTGTGCGATTTAATTTTCGAGCCAATCCGATTTGATTTATCGGCCCGAGTAAAAACCGTATTGGAGTACGACTAGTCGGGCCCAAGAGCCGATTCGTTTCTTTGAACCCGCGAACCCACAACCGAACCAGCCCCGAATCTGGCCCGTCAGACCCGACCCGGACCACCCAAATTGTGGGTTTTTCTTATGCCACAAGATTTTTCTTTTAACCTAATCTCTCTTTATTTCATGAGAGTCAAACGAGAAAATCATCAAACCGCAGCCTTTATCTTTCTTTCTGTTGCGCGTCTTGAGCAGGGACGATCTCTCTCTTGAGAAATCTCATCACGTCATTCTCCTTTATCGCCTAACCTCAACAACAGAGCCAGGGCCGGCCCTGACCTCAAAGTGGGCATTGGCCATGGGCCCCAAAATTTTTGGGGCCCCAAATTTATATCTATATGTGTGTATATATATGTGTGTATATGAGTTTTTGTTAGTAAATATTTCTACCAAATAAAAAGCCCATAAAAAGTTAGATTTTATTGGCCCAAGCCCAAAACACATATAAAACAATAAACATATGAAATAAAATAAAAGAAAATTAAAGTAAATTTATCTTTTGCAATTGGAAGCAATAACGGGAATGGGAAATGGCAAATGGGAAGAAAGAATATTAAAATAATATCCCCTCAAAAGAATATTAAAATAATATCCCCTCAAATTTATCCTCATCTAATAACACATTTCCACACATTTTATTTGCAAGTTCTACTCTCTCTCTAACGGGCAGAAAAAATTTTACAACAGAGCAGATAAAAATTTTGAGAGCGGAGCAGATTAAAATATTTTGAGCGCGGCTTTGGGGATTCAGTCTTTCTTTTCAATCTTCAAGAGACCTACTACAATTATTAGGGTTTTTTGGGTTTGAAGATTATTATCCAAGGCATAATTCAGGTTGTATTGTTTCTTGATTATATTTTATAATTTTGGTGTTTTATTGTTTCATTGTTTGATTCTCAGGCTCTTTTTTATGTGTTTGTCTAATATTGTTTTTTCACTTCAATTTTTATTTTAAACATGGGACCTATACCTAGAAAATACCCATCTGGATGTGAAAAGCGAAAAAAAAGAAAAAAATTGATGAGGTAATTAAAACTCAAAGAGGGGCTCTTGATAAGTTTTTTAAATCCGGTACTAGTAGTAATGCCCAAGAGTCGATAGATGAATTGCAACAATTGAGTGATCAAGAAGAACAAAATGAATATGTGATGTATGGGCCTGAAATAATGCAAGAGGATGGGAATGATGATTTGAATGATGAAATAGTTGATATAGCTAAGAATGAAAATGAATTAGCAAAAACTTATCATGGTTTAAATGTATCTGATCCTGGAACTTGGGGAAATATTGATAATAAAATAAGAGATTTTTTGATAGAGAAAGGGCCTGTAAGAGAGAGCAATATAAAGTTTCCTATAGATGAGTTTAGCAGACATTTTTCATATTCTCACTATACAAGAAAATTACCAAATGGGGAGAACCAAGATCGAAAGTGGTTAGTGTACTCAAAAGCCACAAATAAAGTCTATTGTTTTTGCTGCAAATTGTTTAGATCAGTTAATAATAATAGCTTGTTGGCAAATGACGGTTTGAATGACTGGAAACGTATAGGTGAAAGACTAAAAAAACATGAGAATGGTATTGAGCATATCAACAATATGAGAACTTGGATTGATTTGCAAGTTAGATTGAGAAAGAATGAAACAATTGATAAAGAGTTGCAAGTTCAAATTAAAAAAGAGAAAGAGCACTGGAAACTTGTTTTAGCAAGAATCATTTCTGTTGTAAAATGTTTGGCTAAGCGTAGTTTGGCTTTTCGTGGAGATAATGAAAAGATTTATCAAAATAATAATGGTAATTTTATAGGTTTACTTGAGTTGATTGCAGAATTTGATTTGGTGATGCAAGAACATTTTAGACGTATTCAGAACAAAGAAATTCAATATCATTATCTTAGTCATAAGATTCAAAATGAATTGATTTCACTGCTTGGTTCTAGGGTGAGAAGTGCTATAATCGAAAAGGTGAAAGAAGCAAAATATTTCTCAGTTATACTTGATTGCACTTCAGATACGAGTCACAATGAACAAATGACCTTGATAATAAGATGTGTTGATATGTCAGTATGCCCAATTAAAGTAGAGGAATATCTCGTTGAATTTCTTAAAGTGGATGATACATCTGGATTAGGACTTTTTAATGAGCTACAATCCACTTTAAAATCACTTGATTTAGAAATTGATAATGTGAGGGGGCAAGGTTATGATAATGGTTCCAACATGAAAGGAAAACATCAAGGCGTGCAAAAGAGAATCCTTGAAATCAACCCAAGGGCGTTTTACATGCCATGTGCTTGTCATTCTCTTAATTTAACGGTATGTGATATGGCGAATTCATGTGTTAAAGCTTTGTCATTTTTTGGAGTTGTGCAACGCATGTATACTTTATTTGCTAGTTCTACAAAAAGGTGGAGCATCTTACAAAATCATATTCATCATCTGACGTTAAAATCATTATCAACAACAAGATGGGAAAGTCATGTTAATAGTGTTGCAGCCATAATAACTCAGCCTAATGAAATAAGAGATGCTTTATTTGAGCTATCTAGAGTCAGTGAAGATGCAAAAACTAAGAGCGAGGCTGAGTCTTTAGCAACTCATGAACTTGAAAATTTTGAGTTTCTGTTAGGCATTTTAAAAAAAAATTGACTTGATTAGCAAAAAATTGCAATCGGAGGATATGCAAATTGATGGTGCTATAAGTATGTTGCAAGGTTTGATTTCTTATTTTCAAAAATATAGGGATGAAGGTTTCCAGTCTGCTATGATATTAGCAAAAGAGCTTGCATGTAAAATGGGAATTGATCCTATTTTTCCACAAAAACGTAAAATTTATAGGAAGAAGCAATTTGATGAAAACATTCATGAAGATATCACATTGTCTGCTGAGGAGTCATTTAGGATAAATTATTTTTTTTGTCATAGTAGATGTTGCTATTTCATCCTTGAAGAGTAGATTCGAACAGTTGGAAGTGTTTGAAAATATATTTGGTTTTCTGTTTAATTACAATAAGTTAACTTCATTGGATGAAAACAAATTGCATGAACATTGTGTTAATCTTGAGCATGCTCTGAAACATAATGATATTATTGACATCGATGCTAGTGATTTATTTTCCGAACTGCAAGTCCTACAAATGTGCTTACCAACAGAAATGAAGTCAGTCATGGAGGTACTTGAGTTTGTCAAACATTTAGATTGTTTGCCTAATGTTTCTATTGCATATAGAATTTTGTTAACGATACCTATTACTGTAGCATTAGCGGAAAGAAGTTTTTCAAAGTTAAAATTGATAAAATCATACTTGCGTTCTTCTATGTCTCAAGAAAGATTAAATGGATTAGCAATATTATGCATTGAAAATGAAGTGCTGGAAAAAATTGATTTTGATGACATGATTGATGATTTTGCTTCTCAAAATGCAAGAAGGTCCAAATTATTTCAATAGGCTTTTTGGTGAAGATTTCAAGGGCCAAGTATTCAAGATTGAAGGATGTAATAGTAGTGGAAATGCCCTCGGTGGAAGTGTATTGGCTCAAACAATGTATTCATATTTTAATTTGAAATCTTGTTTATTTAGTGACATTTTACTTTGAATTATATATAGAATATAAAGTTTTTATGATGGAAATTAAATGTATTTTTTGAAGAAAGGGCCCCATTGCCCAATTTTCTCCATGGGCCCCAAAAATATCAGGGCCGGCCCTGCAGGGACTTACATGATAACAAACTCTCTGGTCCCTTACCTGACTCTCTCAGCAAAATGCTGAATCTACAAAATTTGAATTTGGCACAAAATAACTTGAATGGGCCTATTCCAGCATCATGGGGTCGACTTTCAAACCTTAAACATCTGTAAGTGGATCTGCATTATTGTGCCAAAAATAATCTAAGCAGTGTGAATTTTCGGACCATTTGAGACTAACTTTTGTACACTTGTAACAGGGTTGTAAGGGGGAACCACTTGACGGGTCCTATACCCGAATCTCTAATAAATATCACCGGTCTAATGGAACTGTAAGACGACCTCAAATATGGTGTAATTATGTGGGGTTAAATTTGATATCTATTTTGGTTCCTGCAGGGACCTCTCATCCAATGATTTCACAGGAAACGTACCTCAACAGTTGTTCTCAACCCGCGCACCTTCAAGTATGTTTGCCTAATTTTAAACAGTACAAAAACAAAGAAAATTACTATTGATCAACTTTTGTGGCATATCATAAATAACTGTGCACTATTGCTCCCTGTTAATTTTATGATCATTATGGGTATAATATAACTCTACACTTGTCGACCAAAATCTAGTACTGCTTAATGCAGGTGTTATATTATATCCGTAAAATTACATGTAGCTAGATATAATCTGTTGTCATATTATTAATTTGATGTTTGCATTACATGCATATTTATCTTCAGCTTTACTGCCACTAATCTCCTGTGCGGCAACAATCAGAGACAACCTTGTGTCAAAAGTTCCCCGATTCCAGGTCAACTTATTAATATTATTTTTGTTCCTTAGATCATTTGTCTTCAGTTATAGGTGGGTTACATAAAATGGAAAAAAAAATTGAGAGTAAGAGCATCTTTAATGGAACATTATCCATTGTGTGTTGAATGACATGAAGAAAGGAAATAATTTTTTTTTGTCTAGTGTGAATTGTGGCGTCATTTGTGATGTGTAAAATTATAATTGGGTGAAGAAAAGAAAAAAAAAATGAATAAACAATATATAATATATAATAGAAGTATTCTAGAATGGCTTCTACATCTAGAAGGCCTTCTAGACATTTTTCATGCCATATAGGATTGTTTGTGCCATGTGGCAATAAAATAGAAGAATAGAATAAAGATGCTCTAATGGGATTGATTTTGGTGCAGTGTGTAGAAGAAAATCTCAAGTTGAAGTTGTTGTCACAGTAGCGAGCATAGGTGCATTTTTTCATCATCTTGCTTATTGGGGCTGTCTTTAGATGCAAATTCTATGAATTCAAGCATGATATATTTGTGGACGTGGCTGGTAAGTCTTCATCCTTATCTTTTGGATACTATATGACATGAATATGAATATGAATATTCTACAATGTAAGTATGTAACTAACTAAGTAACAAACTACTTTGGTGCACAGGTGAAGACGAGCCAAGGATTTGGTTGGGACAGATTAAAAGGTTTTCGTATCGCGAAATACAGCTGGCAACTGATAACTTCAACAAAAGTAAGATAATCGGACAAGGTGGATACGGGAAAGTATACAAAGGGGTTCTAACAGACAACATGAAATTAGTTGCTGTCAAACGGCTAATGGACTGTGGGAGTCCAGATGGGGAAATTCACTTGATAAGCATTGCCGTGCACAAGAATTTGCTTCGCCTCATTGGATATTGTACCACCTCCACCGAGAGAATTCTTGTTTATCCATTTATGCAAAATAAGTGTTGCACATCACCTCAGAGGTATTCCTTCAACTTTTTACTTTCTTCTCATGCATAATATTATAAATTACTCATTTCCGCATTATCCCCTTAAATTACTTTTCATTTTGTTAGCTCTCTTAGAGTGTGTAAATATATGTATTGTCTGAATAAACATTAAATTAAGGTGAATTGATTAGGATCTTCTTTTTTTTTTGGAACAGGAGCCTGTGTCCCAGAGCCGGTCCTGTAAATTATTAGGCCCTGGGCCAAATATAAAAATAATGCCCCAAAATTAACAAATTAATAAAATAATGCCCCAAAATTACCACGGTGAAGGCAGAGCCGCAGAGGAGACTGCAGACCAGTCACCAGCGGAAGGCGATGGCGTTAGGCCCGGTTGTGGAGTTGTGGCAAATGGCGAGCCGCCGAGCCGGGCAAAGTAAACATAACAAATTAACAAATTTTCGGATCAATTTTTTCCCAAAAATAAAAGATTCAAATGTAGAAAAATATATTTTGCTGAAAATAACAAAATAAAGTGATCAATTTTTCCCAAAATAAATAAAAGATTCAAATATCTTACTCTCTAACTCTAAGATTGTTGGAAGTAACAAATTGACAATTTTCAAGATGTGTGAGGATTGATTGAAGCAGATTGAAGCTGAATAGTGAATATAAAAAAACAAAAATTGAAAAAGCTATTTATAATCTATAAAATTGAGTAACTTGCCATTGGAATTTTGGAATGAGAGCCAAGATAATATCATGAAGCCTGAAGTTTGCCGTTGGGAAAATAACAGATTGGAAAGTTAGAAGACGAAATATCGACATCTTGTTGCCAGTAATTTGGGGAATGGGGATTTTATTAAATTTTTTTTTTTTTTAATCCTGATGGCATTTGGAATTGGAACAGAAAGGCCACGCGCACGGAAATGCTTTTATTTAATTTAGGTAGGCTTTAGGTCTCTCTCCTGGATATGGGCAGTGGGCTTATATTTATTTTTGTTGGGCCCATTCATAATACATATATATCTATATATAATGTAATGTGTAAAATTAATGCCCCTTTTTTTGTTGGGGCCCTGAGCTTGGGCCGGCTCTGCTGTGTCCTCAAAATTACTGGGTGAATATGTTAAACGATGTTTTAATGTTTTTACTTCTTTTATAAATTAGATTTATTAAAACATTATCACATTAAATGAAACTTGAACAATAAATAATAAAAAAAAAAACATAGAGAGAAAAATTAAATAATCTCATTTATTCACCGTATGTATAGGGAAAAGTATATTAAAAAAATATACAATCAAAGGCTCAACTCTATTTTACTTCTGTTGTAGCAAATTATTTTTATTTTACCGAGCACCGAATCGAATGATTCGTTTCTCGGGTCTATCTCTCGAGGAAGGCGGTTCGGAATTTAGTATTGATATCGATAACACATAAAAGCAAAATAAATCCTACACATTCTAATCACGATAGAGTTGGAAAATTATCAAATAACATAAGACGATGATCTACCTAAGAATATAAACGAGCTAGGGTATCGGGAATAATCGCTTCCGGTTCTACACACATTTAACGGCAAACAATAACTCGGTTAAATGGTTCGACTAACTAACTCATTTAGCGGTTTAACCTCACTAACTCTCGTAATATGAGGATAAACATCAAATTAACGAAGCAATTAACACATAGACAATACGTCTCCGAACATGTCTACTCTAAATGAGCCAAATTCCACCAATTTCTCCCCTTTAGGTTTTGAAATCGGTTATCTCTACGACTCCTCCCCTTTCGGTTCTATAAGTCGCAATTCGATTAGAAGGTGTTTAATCAACTAATCATGTAGAGTTAACAAATTCTAACCCAACAAATCAATATTCAATCACAAATCGAAGTGTCACTCTTCGATTATATCAACAAATTAACCTAAGTGTCACTTTTAGGTTATAACAATTTATCGAGTATGATTTTATCAATTCTAATTAAAACAACTGGTCAAGATTGAGCTATCGTCATGTACATAAACGAGAACAAACCGGAATGATTATCCCTTAACCCTAGCTAAAGGATTAGCTACTTATATCAAATTCAACACAACATAACGTTTCTCCTAAATTTACCATTATGCATGAATTAATTCAAAGAGAAAATAAACTTACATATCAATCTATAAGTGTTGAGTTCAAATACAAACTTCATCCAAAAGACAAAATAAAGAAAATACAAGAAGAAGAAAAGAGAAAATAAGAGAGGAGAAAGAGAGGGAGAAATGAAAGAAGAAGAGGGGGAAGAACCCCTCTTGGTTCAAACATGGATGATGATGATGGAAGATGATGAATAGAAGGAGAGATGGAAGGGAGTAAGTGGAGTATGTTCCCCCACACCAAAAACCGAATTTTAGGTTAAAATCTTGGTCCAAGGTTCCCCATTTACGAGCTCCCTCCAAACAAGCTAGAATTTGAGGAAAAGAAAACCTGCTGTCTGCCAGGCGGGGTTAGCGGCGCTATGATTGATTAGCGTCGCTAAGAAAAAACTGGGTTGCGCGACTTTGCGTTTCGGGCTCGTTCGAATTCGAAATTGAGTTCCGTTTTTTCCTACGCGTCGCTAACGAACCCTCTATTCAATGATGCTTTCAAATTCAAATTTTTCCCAAAATACAATCCTCTAGGGTCTTCCAACCTTCAAAGGATCGGTAGTTATTTGCTGGATTTTACGTTTCAGCCCCGTTCGGATTCGTCCGAACTCAAAATTGGACGCTTTTTCCTATGTGTAGCTAAGGAACCCATCTATCCAACCATGATTTCCCGACCCGTTTTCAAGCTAATTGATTCCTCACGGGACTTCCGACCTGCACATAAAAAACAAGAAGAAAAACGTAGAAAAGCGACAAAATACACGAAAAACACATAGAAAACCAAAATAGAGTCAAACACACAATAAATTACAAAACGAACTAAAAACTAACAAAAAGACCTTAAACGGGGAGAAAAGAACGACAAAACAGTAATGAAAAACGTAACAAAAATGGTCACAACAACTTCTATCATATAGCTTAAATTATTTTTAGTTCTTCATAATATATTCTAATTTATGATTTTTTATTGTGTAAATTCTAAGTATGTTTTTGTAAAAGTTTATATGTTGGATATTTTAGCAAATTTCAACATTAAATCTAATTAAATAAAGTAGCTTTATAAATGTCATGACAAAGCTAGAGTTGTCTAGCTATTGTTGAGTCAGTTTAGTGAATCGACTTAGTAGTACTCTATAAATAGGCCATTAGTAGAGTCCAAGATGTGGGTGGTGATTGGATTTAAGTTTTTGGGATGTGATTTGAATTTATTGAATAATGTGGATTTTAGTTGATAATAATGATTGAGTGGAGTTTTGGATTGGATTTTAGTTGTGTTTGCAAGATAATTCCTACAAAGTCTAGGTTTCAACCCTATTGTCATCGCGGTACTGCGGCCCCCTCCCCTTCACCCTGGCTTTTATCTCTTTTTTGACAGCGTAGGCCCGTCCACAATACCTTTTGTACCTAGCTACGTACTCCCTCAATGACTCATTTTTTCCTCTGTTACATTACTATTAAGTTCAAATAGATCTTCTCATGAATCTTTGCACTTACGAACTATTAATGAAACTAAACTTGAATGCCTCAAAATCAGAGATCGAGCCTGGCGAGAGCTGATGAAAACAATCCTGCGCCGTTCCTTGCAAGGTGGCCCGGAAAGCTCTACATCATAATGGATCATTGCACTTGTTCAACTCCTCACGTGACGCACTAGATCTGTAGACCCGTCATAAATGAGTTTTAGCTCCCTAAATCAGGGGCGTAGGTCGGTTTCCAGTAATTCCTGTGAGAAAGGATGGCCTCTGGTCCTGGCTCATCTTTTTCCCTCAACCTTTTCCTGAAGGTCTTGTATCTACACAGATAGCCTTTCTAAAGAGTCATCCCTCGGGGCTTGCACGTTGGTTACTTTGTAATATCCCATTCAGTAATTAATAAAAGTAATTATTCTGAGTATGAACTAATTACTTTTATTAATGCTCGTTCTTAGTTCCAAGCCAGTTATTAAGTTATTCAGTTAACAATTCGACTTTAAGTCGAAAGTATTCTCGGTTCAATATTATTCAGTAATCGAGCCAGTTCAGTAATTAATTAATTCCGGTCTGCTTATTTTTATAAATGGATTTATAAGACGGGACTAATTAATATAAGATGACTAATAATCGAAATTGGGTATATTTTGATTAATCGTTTAAGATAAGTAGTGAACTGAAACCAAGTATGTTCAGTCATGAGTTGAACTTAATTAAGAAACAGTCGAGCCTTAGTACTAAATACTTAGAATTTTTCTAAGTGTTCAAGTCATCAAGATAAGATCATAATATTGAGCCTTAGCATAAGTTGATACAAGTTAAGTCTCAAGTGCGGTTAAGTATCCATGAACATTTAAGTGATAAATGTTCAAAGAAGTGAGAAAATTTATTTAGACTTTATAGTCTATTTAAATTATTTTAAGAGAAACCGAAATTTTTAGAATTTTCGGTTTTACGATAATCGTTCGGTTTGAGTCCGAATGTGGTTCCGTAAATGTAGAATATTTCAAGATAATTATATTAGATCCTAAGAAGCAATATGTTCATTAAATTGAAAAAAAAAAACTGTGAGTAAAGAATTTAAATTTTAGAATTTTCAGTTTTACGGTAAATGTTCGCTTTAAGTCCGAATTGAGTTCTGTAAATTGTATTATTCTCTGTTTATTAGCATTATCCAAGACCATATATGAACATTAATTTTCACTAAAAGAGTTTTAAAAATCAGCCATTTTGAAAGAAAATGCATAAGTAATAAAAAAGGATGATTTTTATTATTTTTATTATTTTGTTCCAAAGATTTTTATATGATGAATGATGACATTTTTTCAATAATATATAGAATCAATTACATCACATTAAGCATGAAATTTTGGTCATCAATTGGTGAGAATGAGATGAGAAAATCAAAACAAAGTTTTGCTAAGTCTTTAAGTTAGCATTTTTTTTTTAACAATTGGTGAGAATTTTATTAAACTTGGTGGAATAAGCTTTATCTACCAAAAAGCTCATTCATGGCTATAACTAGAGGCCATTTTTTATGATTAATTATGTTTGGATAAGAATACCAATTAATCATAAAATAGTTTATGATTAATTGAGTTTATAAGTTTAAATTGTTTATTTTGTTCATTTCTTCACTCCATTAT